AAAAAAAAAAAAAAAAAAAAAAAAAAAAAAAAAAAAAAAGGAAAGAAAGAAATTGTTCTGGAAACCAAAGACTCTGAAGTGGAGCCTGAGGAAAGTCAGCAGCAGCAAACAACACCTTACTGTGGCTGCACCTGCTGTCTTACATCTGTGACCTCAGCAACCCAGAGACAGCTCAGAGATGTGAAGTAACTTCCCCAAGATCACACAGGCAGGAGGGGCAGAAGAGGCTTCGAATCCGAGTCTGTTCAACTAAAAGACTTACTTCTTGCTCTTTGCGCTGCCCCTGCATTTCCGGGGCCATGAGCCCCCAACCACTCAAGATGCCTGGGTGTGGCCTTTCCTTCCCTCTCTCCCATGCTCCCTCAGGATTCCCTCCCCTTCCCCCTGACACCCACTGCCCTCAGTGATGCTGCTGACTGAAAAGCTTCTCCAGTGGGTACCTAGCGAGGTTCCATCTTGGGGGCCAGGTTTCCTGTCAGGAAGAAGCTAAAGGTGCTTGCGAGGTCTTCCCAGAACACCTGTACTCCCTGTGGCTAGCACAGTCCCTTTTATATGTAGCACTTTTTATTTGTTTAAGACAGGTCTCACTATATATCTCAGGCTGGCCTTGAACTCACTGTGGCCCAGGCTGGCCTCAAATTCGTGCCAATCCTCCTGCCTCAGCCTCCCCATTGGCTCCCCTGAAGAAGTGGAGTTTACTGGTAAACTGGCAGAGTTGCAGCTGCTTGCGCTGAGGAGTAACTGCACGTTTTGTCCTCCCGTCCATTGACTTCCATGGAGAAAAGTGCTCAGGATGAGTGCTGCTGAAAAAATGTGCTTCCCAAGAGTGGAGTGCTAGAATCACAAGTGTGCCACTGTATCCCAAGCGCACGGTCCCGAGTTTGATCCCCAGTACCACAAAAATAAATAGTAAATAAACAAAGCACCTTCTTATTCTTACACCATTTCCCGGGGGCCCCTGGAGATTTTCACCCTGCTTTATGGAAGAGGAAATGGAGGTTCGACCAAGCTGCAGGAGAGAGGAGCTACACAGAGAGAAAGGTCTTGAGGCCACTGACCAAGTCCTTTCAAGTCAGGTTTAACTGGACCTACAAAACAGAAGTGGGTAAAAGATCCTCAGACTCCTCGGAGACAATAAGATAACAGCTTCCAAACAGATAGAACCAGTCAATTTTCCCTTTCTCTGTGTTCTTTATGATGGGTGTCACAAGATGATAAGGAAAATATTCCAAGCCCCAGTGGTCTTCATCGACTGTTATCAGACTGAGGCCTGAAGTTCCCTGTGGGCAGGGCCAGGTGGAGGCC